TCATCAAGAGTATTATCAATTCTTGGCAGTGGGTATGAGTCTTTTTTGGTTATACTGTTAAGAGCCCTGAAGTCCACACAGCAACATTGGGTCCCATCATTCTCCTGGACTAACACGACGGGAGCTGACCAGGGACTATCTGATTTCTCGACTATCCCTTCTTTAAATAGGCCATCCATGACCTTCTACATCTCTTGTCGCTTTGCTGGAGCTATTCTCCTTGGAGGGATCTTTATTGGATGGTCATTGCTTGTGTTTATTCTGTGCTCCACAAGGTCTGTGCAGCCAAGGTCATGATCTCCTTTTGAAAAGACGTCTGCATAATTCACCAAAAGTTCCCTAACCTGAAGAGCCTGTGATGATGACAAATGGACTATGCTGATCTTATAGAGGTCAGTTAAATGTTCTGGGAGAGGATGTCCTTTCTTTATGGTTGTATTTCTTGCCTTAACACTGACTGGCTCTACCTCCTGGCACACACCCAACAATGCCTCTTCCTTATGTGTCTGCTCACATTTAGAGAAATTAGCCACTGTTATAGCTACTACTTGATGACCTGGCACAAGTGACCTTCCAATCTTCACGTCCACTGGCCTGGATGGGTCTTCCACTGCTTCCACAAGCATCGGGCTTCCTTGGTGATGTTCTTTTATTCTACCCCAAATTATCTTCTCTGACATAGGGGGTATTGTAGTTGACTTAAGTGCTGTGACATGCAAATCCACATATGCAGCAATACTTATTGGAATTTGGCCTTTGTTGTTTCCAATCGTTATTTTATCAAAGTTAACTACACACTTCCTCGGTAGTAAGTAGTCCAACCCTAATACGCATTGGTCTTCAATGTCAGCCAAGTATACTTTGCATCTGTCCTTTATGCTCATGAGCTCAATAGTTACCAACACTGGTCTCCACAACCTTGCATAATGTCCTGTCACACCACAGAGCTTCTGTACAGCTTCTGGTACTTCTTTATTATCCAGCATTTTGATGCTCACAAGAGTTTGCTGAGATGCAGAATCTATGACAAAGTTGGACTTTTGGCCATCCAGCTTTCCTGTCACGTTGGGTTGGTGGGCGTCCATCAACACCAAACCCTACTGGTTTCTCTGAGGCTGAATTATTGGTGCTTCATATGTCCTTGCTTTCCACAGTTCCAACAACCTTTCTGGGTAGAAGCCTTTTCTGCCGTGGCATCTTCCCTGAGTTGGAGTTTCCAGCATTGAGCTTTCTTGTGCCCTGGTTTGTTACAGTGCCAGCAAAGTCCCTCAAATATCTCTGAAAGCTGCCCTTTTCTGGCCTTGAATCCTGATGACTGTACCAACCTTGGTATGTCTGTGCTGGACTTAATGTGGGATTCGAATTCAAAAGCTCTGGCCATTGCATCCTGCATAGTAGAGGGGTGTGCTAGCTTTACTTGTATCTTCAGTTGTAGACTGTCCAAGGCGTCTACAAACTGATCCCTCAGCAACAGCTTGAGGACATCGGATGGTGCAGTTGGGTAGGCCTTGTGTGCCATACTTTCCAAATCCTGTGCCAGCTCTTGCAGGCTCTCCCCTTTAGCATGGACTCTACTCCTAAACCTAGCCCTGTAGACTTCAGACTGATTTTGAGTTCCATACCTGATTTCTAGACCAGCTACCAGTGCTCTATAGTTGTACCTGTCATCTGCTGACAACTGTCCAAGTATTTTCAGTGGTTGTCTCTTCAGGCTCCTTGCCAGGAACACTGCATTCTGCTCCTCTGTCCATCCATTCATTTCTGCCAGGAGCTCAAATTGTGCTCTATATGCTTCCCATGGTGCCTTCCCATCGAATTCCTGTGGCTTCCTTCGTACTAGATCACCCCTATTGCTGACACTCATGTCTGGAACGTGACTTCTGGCAGGACTGAAGATGTCTGGATTAGGGTTTAGCTGCTGAGTCTGTAAGGGGTTTCCTGTTATCTGGGGCTGATTAGGTCCATGGCTAATATATCCTCTTTATGTAAAAGACAGTAAATCATCCTTTAATGTATTTAATTCACTTTGAAATTTACTAATCTTTTCCATTTGTACTTCTTGTTTCCTCTCTTGTCCAGTTGCCACTGGTGCTTGTTTTCTTGCCACTGCTATAGTCTCTCTTCTTGTTCATTTTCTTTCTCTTC